GAGGGGTACTTTATCATTCTCACTAACTCATTTTCTAGGTGATGCAGTCATGTAGTAACAATACATTCTGTACTTGTGTTGATGAAAGGAATATTTGGACTCTCAGAAACAGAGCTAAAAAAGTTATCAATATCCTCAACAATACTCCACTCGCCATGAAACCTAAAGTATCAAGGAACGTATTATTTTCCTAGATACCACAGTGTCTAAAATTGGTAGAAGTCAACAGGCATAAGGTAGCAACAATTGCTTTGCAAAACAGCTGAGACGCACTTCTAGATACAAAAAGCCACCACCCTGAACATATCTTCTACAAAATAATGAGGTCACAACTAATACATTTCCATCACATATGCATAAAGCTGAAATCTTTTCATCATGCAGTTAAAACATTTTCATACATCTCAGAACACAATCTGTGATTTAAATTTAACAATTGACACAGTGTTCATTACAGTGGGATCCACAACTACACCCACCTTGCAGCTTCCTTTTCCCACTTACCATAATGTTCTTCCAGTCCCCTTCTTCTTGCATCACCCCACACCAATCTTGCCTCCTTCTCTTCCTCAACTCTTCTGCAGTCAGCTCTTCCCCTCACCCAACACTGATCCACTCATAGTAGATGTCCCAATCACAGACCAGCCTATAGAACTCCTGCATCTGGCAAAAGGAAATCCCAGACCCCAGCCTTGGCTAAAGGCAGTCCCCAATCCTGACCTTAGTAAAAGCTGATCCTGGTATTAGCAAAAGGTGGTGCCTCGTGACTTCTTCAACACTCTCATCAACTTAGCTCATTGGTCCTCCATTCACAGGTTATTTCTCCCTCCTCACTTGTTGCTGATAGATTTTCCAGTGAGCCTGTCAACCACAAGCATGGGAGAAAACCAGTCTTAGATTGAAGAAGCAAATCCTCATCTTTTCCTTCCATTTTATTTACGGGGCGACTTTTCTTTCTGATTGATCACCCCATCAGTCTATTTTCCCAGGCAATTTGGGGAATTTCAGGTATAGATTCACCCATTGTCCCCTTGTATTTGAGCACTGACTTCTGTGTTGCAAAGGCTGGGCTCTAAGCTCCATGTAAAGTCCTATGGCAAATTGGTGTTGGGCTACTTCATGATCCTTGACATTGACCATAGACTTTCTGATGGGCTTCCCAATATGCTATGTATTTTGTTTTCTGAAGACTGTCCCATTGCAGTGTTCATCTGAGTCCCCACAACAGAACCCCTGTGCAACATCATTCTGTAGCAAGCTAGCACCTGAATTTCCATGCCCTCTGCTCTTGCTACAAGTCACTCCTGCAGGTCTCACCTGTATGCTGTCTTCCAAGTATCTTAACTGGAGGCTGTAAATATAAAATCAAGTGATATGCTTCTTTACTGGCTCTTCCTTCTTGCTGTTCCTCCTTTTCCTGGCCGGGTTGCTTTCTTCGGTACGCAAAGGAGAAAGGCACGAGGATAAAATGGTGAGGCAACGGGAAGTGAGCTTCATGCGTAAGCCATCTTCAGCTTGTAAATCATAAGACACTGTGGGAGTAAAGTGAGTTGGGTTACAAGGAGAGGGATTAGTGGATCGTCTTTGTCCTCTGCCTCAGCAATGGCTATTTCAACAATGTCTAGCATTTACACCTTAGGGATAGGATATGCAAGTGTACATGTTCCCCGCTAGCTGGTGTCTGCTGCCTCCAGTTCTGTGAGAGAATAAGTGTCTTAATGAGGATTACACAATCTGTTTTACTGATATGTTGTCTTCGTTGGTTCTGTCTGCCAGTGTGGACCAATTGAGATTGTGTGAAGCTTGCAGCACAATAAACTGTGCAGGTTGGAGCATGTCCCTTACGAGTCCCAATTGTTGGTTGATGATAAATGACGTGGTAGTAAATTGAACAGCATCAGAGGCTATAACGCAGTTGGTGGCAAATGGTTTCTGAATATGCATCACTAACCTGCATCATTTGTGTGAGGTCAATGACCTGCTTGCAGTATTGCTTCTAGGTCCTAGCATTGACTTTCATTCGATCTGCCCCTACTGCCTTCTGAGCATGTGTCTTGATGGTCTCTTGATCCTCATGGGCTTGTGGATTCAGAATACCCTCCTCCTTTCTACCAAAGCCTACTGGGCAGTGTCTTTACATCTTGGAGCCCACTTCCCTCCATAGTGCACCATTCTTCAATACTTCTGACTGCAAGCACCAGTTCCACCACAATACAACTACCCTTTAAGAGTAATGCTAACCATTCATGAAAGTGACTTGTTGCTGATTGTTCAACAGTACACAGCACTGGTTTGATAATGAAATCATTGAAATAAGCATGCATTATCAAACTGGCATTCTGCTACCACAGCAGCTATTTCAGGGACAGTTGAAGTTAGCTCACCTGTATCTCTCAAACTAATAGGCTGGGGTTCTTTTATGTAGAAAAGACTGCAAGTGACCTTATTAAAGGTCTTTGAAGATTATGAAAATATTTGATAGTGTAGACTTCACGAAAATGTTTTCATATGAACAAACTATTATAGCTGCCATAAATACAAGACAGCCAACCCTAAATCCAATAGTGAATTCAGGAGAACCATATGTAATTTATTTGAAAAGAAAATCGTCATCCAAAAAATGTTAGAATAAGTTTGTAATTTTAAAACTTTGTAATTGAGGTGAATCACACAGTCACGTAAGAAAAAGCTAGACAAACACACAAGCTAGAAAGGATCAGAAAGTTATGCTACATGGATTTAGAAGAAGGGTGAAATGAGACTCCTGTGCTGCATGGTTGATCTGTACTGTAGGCTCCATGTAATATTTAATCATTTACGTCTACAACTCAAACATGAGGGCAGCCTTGACATGAAAGATCAGCAAGAACACATGTAGCAGGTAGAAGTGTGAAAGACAGATTAGAAATGGAGTTTAAAGATGAAAATAAGTGTGATACTATAAAGCAAGTTTTAACACGGCAAAGAGACAATATTTTACTTGAATCAGAGATAGTAGGAACTGCAGATGCTGGAGAATCCGAGACAACAAGGTG